AGTTTTTGACAGGGGGACGAGTGTGATGAGAACAGGCTGCTAGCCAAATTGGTAGACGATTATTTACCTCAATGTTTGTGTCGCAAATATTGGCCGTGCGAAAATATGAACAAGATTGATTCAACAACCAATCACAGCAGACTTGGCGTAGGCAGATATAGTTAACATATAGATGACCTGACATTCAAGAAATAGTCACAAAGAGATGCAAGGTCAACTTTCTGGGAGAAACAACCAATCAGAAGACTGTGTTGTTTGCTTGAATAACCCATAATAATTGTACATGAAAATATATAAATACGTGTTGATTTCCTTAATAAACGACCTGTTGCCTGGCCCTTGTCTTCTGTTGTTACAATAGTATTTCGACTATAATTATTATCTTGGTCCTATATGGTTGTATATATATATAATTATTTTCTGTCAATAAAGTTTAGTATTACTGATTTTTTTCGTTTTATTTATGTGATTACATATTTGTTTGTTTGTACACTGGTATCGCGACATGAGGATAACCTTCCACACATAGTAACTCTTCAGTAACAATTTGTTCTAGTATTATGAATTAATGACTAGTAAAAAAAAGATTATTCGGTTTTATATAAACATCTAGAAATATGTCCTCATGCTGTGTGTAGTGAGTATCATATTACATTTACCAAAACACACCACTAGCTTAGATTTTGTTTGATTAGAACTACACTAATCTCCAGTTGGTTGTGTCCTTATTTGAGGATATTAATGATAGATGGTGTAGCCTTTCATATTTTATTTCAAGTTTGATCGTCAGCTGACATCAATTAGAGAGAGAACCAGGAAGCACTGGATATCTGTTTCGTCCAAGTTTTGGACTCTTCAGTACTATACACCTACCAAGGTTCAAAACTAGGGCCATTAGGTTTCATTATTAAAAATCAATAGTACTCGTAAATTGTTCTCTGTTTTGTCTAACGTCACAGAATGAGTTATAATGAACACCAAGAGTTGTGATATCGGATATACACGCAGGTATCGATTAATTCCTTGAGGAGATCAGAATAAAACTTCAGCGTAAATGTACAAGTAGAAGAACAATGGAAATGATGAAGTTGACAGGTTTACAAACAGACACATTTGACTTTCAAGTTAAACGACGAACTGACGGCTATTTCGTACTAGTTCGAGACCCTTCATCGATACGCACCCTAATTGGGATCGAATGCAAATGCTGACTAGTGGCTGGCTACAGGATGAATTTGCCTGAGGTTCTAGTGAGAGGTCATGACCAGTGACGTCCACCTAAGTTGAGTTCGCTGACAAATAGTCACCCTCTTCCTCAGTAGATGAAATGTCAGCAAGCTAGTCTCGTAATATCAAGTTCTTACGTTCGACCTCAAGTGGGAACATGAGTGAGAGTACTGATGAAGTGGTTCAGAATTTGATGGGATGGATTTCCAGTACTCCCGAGGTTTTCAGTGGTTCTTCAACTGAATTTGATTCGTGATCAAAACTGAAGTCAACACTTGAATATTTAACCTCCTTTTCTAATTGATTTCTAAGCAATTTTTAGTGTGTTCTTTATTCGACATAATACAAGTATTGTTTATGAAAATAATATCAATTATAAAATGTATTACAATAAAAGAATCTAGAGACAAATTACCTCTCTTAACGCAGAAAGTAGTATTTTGTAACGCTGTACCACTCAAGGAACTATTCGAAGTCCGGATTTTATGAACTCTGTTAGTCTACGTAAAAATTTCCAACTAAAGTAGTGACGATGTAATTTTCAAAGTATTTGGTTTAGATCAATCAGCACTTAGGATTGATCCTAATGGCCTACTATTGTAACGGTTGAACACAAGACACTTACTTGGTAACAGAATGTTATTTGGAGTTTTGTATCTCAACATAGTTCAGTCCGCTCCGTCCTCCTTTATGGCTGTGAGGCCTGGCCATTGAGAGTGGAAGACATGAAACGACTAGCTGTCTTCGATCATAGGTGCCTGCGTTCCATTTCCCGTGTGAAGTGGTTTAATAAGGTGAGCAATATTGAGGTTAGGCATCGGTCGAGTGTTAGATAAGCATGGGAAATCAATCGACGAGGCTGTGAAGTTACAAAGACTGAGATGGTTAGGACATGTGTTACGCATACATGTCTAGTCATCGCCTTCCTCGACGAGCAATGTAAGGTGATGTAGGGTCACGCTGGAAAAGAGTTAGCGGAGGTCAAACCAAAACATGGCTTCACCGGTTAATGAAATCTACAACATTTAGTCTAAGCCACGTAGGAAGGTGTAGACTTCTTGGTTGGGGTCCCCGGGACAGTAAACACCAATAGCTGGAGACAATCGGTGATATGACTCAAAATCGTTCTCAATGGATGACGCAGATGCATCCACTCCTTGTCACTTATGATTTTCAATGAAACTCTATTCTTCTTCGTTACTACTATTCCTTAATCTCAAACCTCTGTTTACTTAGTGTCTCTAATATGCATTTCTCCTCTTGCTTTGTGTGCTACATGGAGAGTGTGACGACTAGAAGTGCTGCACATCGGTGCAAAGTTCTATGTCGAAAACAGACAGATATCTCTATATTGCGAAATTATGTACGCCTTATCTGAGAGTCGTCATTTGCAGAGATCTTCCGTGTTGTGCTACTTTGTATTGTGTTTCTTTGCCTTCATTTCATGTCACCCATGTTTTGCCGCAACGCTAGTTCATTTGCTCCCTTTTATTTCAAATCTATCTCTCCCCTATTCGATATTTTTAGGCCGATTAATGTCTCTTTGTATACTACTGATAAATCTTATCAGTAGCAAATGCCACACCAGGACTATTAAAGGTTACAGCGTTTATCCTACAGGTAGGTTTCCACTGAAAATCTTGTTGCCAGGTATAGCACGTATTTTTGTCTTAGTATTATAGTTTCTTGGAGGATCTGGACTTCACCGATGATATATGTATGATTTCCCACAAACTGGAAGATATGCAAGTGAAAAGCAACAAGTCGACAAAGGAAGAAGCATCCGGAGAAGGTTGGACTTCCTTCAGGTGAACATAGATAAAACAGAGGTGATGAAGATTCCTGACCAAAACCAACAGCAGCAACAAAAACAACAGATAACAATCAGCCAGCATAATTGGGAGGAACCTGAAAGAAACAACCTCCTTCACCTACCTACCATCCGACCTGGGAAGCACCGTTTCAACTACAGGCCGATGGAACTGACGAGGATATCAAAGCCAGAATCGGAAAAGCAAGACGGGCTTTCTCTCTGTCTGTTTTCGACATAGAACTTTGCACAAATGTGCGGAAGTTCAAGTCGCCACATTCCGTGTAGCACGCGAAGCAAGAGAAAGTACAAGAAAAGCATAATAGAAACAGTGAGCAGAGGTGTGAGACAAAGGAGTAATAAAGAAAAACAAAACAGTTTCATTGAAGATCATAAGTCACAAGGAGTGGATGCATCTGCGCCACTGAGAACGGTTTTGAGCCATGTCACCAATTGTTTCCAACCATAGATTTTTACCGTCCCGAGGACTCCAGCCTGGAAGTCTACACCTTTCTACGTGGCTTAGATCAACTGTTGTGGATTTCATTGACTGATGCCAAGTTTTTGTTTGACCGCCGCTAGCTTTTTTCCAGCCTGACCCTGTATCCGCTAACATAGCTCGTCGAGAGAGGCGATGGCTTGGCATACGTAACACATGTCCTAACCATCTCAGTCGATGTAGCTTCACGACTTCGTCGATTGATTTCCCCTGTTTACCTAGAACTCTACGCCTAACCTCAATGTTGCTCACCTTATTATGCCACTTTACACGGGAAATAGAACGCAGGCACCTATGATCAAAGACAGCTAGTCTTTTCATGTCTTCCACTCTCAGTGGCCAGGTCTCACAACCATAAAGGAGGACGGAGCGGACTGATGAGCAGTACACCCGCCCTTTGGTCGATAGTCGATAGACGGGCTTTCATTACTCTCAAGTCTGTATGGAGGTCAACAGCACTCACCATCAAAAATAACATCTGGATTTTCAACTCTAATGTGAAGTCAGTCACTGCTACTCACTATACGGATCAGAGACTTGGCCAGCACGTCATAAAGAGCATGTCAAACAAACTACAGACCTTCATTAACAGTTGTCTTCGCTCAATACCACTCAAGATCAGATGGCCGGCCAGAAAAGATCAGCAACAGGGATCTCTGGAAATGAGCGAACCAACTCAGCAGGAACCGATTGTGCAACAAATAGGCAGGAAGAAATGGAGGTGGATTGGCCATACTCTGAGAAATGAAACCATCAAGTGACATCACTAGACAAAACATCGCTCGAGTGTAACTCGAAAGGGAAGAGGCTAGTTGGTCGTCAGTGCGATGGTGGGGTGACTTGGAGGAGGTGATGTGAAGAGGAAATGAAAGCATGTGTAGGCAGACTTGGAGCCATGTGAAAAAATGGGCAGAGAACCGAAGGCAATAGAGACGCTTAGCTGAAGCCCTATGTTCCTCTAGCAATTAAACGATATAATAATAATAATAATAATAATAATAATAATTAGCAAGATATATCTGCAACCTTAAGGAGTTCAAACTAGTCTGAAACTTCCTCACAAAAATGGGACACTATTTTGATGAGACAACGTTGTCCACTTGATCAACAGATAACCAACCATCAACGCTCCAAGTTATGTTCAACAGCCAATTTATGGATATACAAACACACCCACACACCTAGTTTTAAGACTTATATATAAGAAATGAAAAGCAGTAAGTGAATGATTATGAAATCATAATTCTTCATATTATATTGTATTATATTACTATCACTACTACTTGTGTTAATAGCATATTCATGATAAACTGTCTTATCACATTCATTGAGAGATAAAGACAAAGACAATTAAACAGTGGGATGGATACAAAAGACATAAAGGAAGAAAGAAAGACAAACAGTTGACATTCAACAAAAGTGGTACACAAGAAGAACAAAAATAAGAGGACAAGTCAATATATATATATATATATATATATATATGAAAAAGGGTACCCAGTAAACAAGAAAACGTAAATATATAAACTTGGAGGATGTAATTGTGAAAAAGAAATTCTCACAATAAAATCAGCCATTAAAAAAGGAAAAAAAGGTGTTGATCATGTTCACAGTCATTAAATAATTAATCAATAAATATTATCATTATTAACGATATTAGTATGAAAGTAAGCCTTAATAGGTTATATTATTTACAAGGGGAGAGTATAAAACTTAAGATAGAAAAATTGCACGCAAACACACACACACACAGGTACACACTTATGCCATTTAAATCCACAAACACAGGGATATCAAATATAAAAGAAAGCTAAAAACGACTAGAACACAACTGATGTGTGTGTGTGTGTGTAGGGGAGTGTAGGGGACAATAAACTCATTCCAAAGGGTAAATATGATGCACCACCACTCACAATAACTGAAATCATAAACGAAGTGAAATACGGAGAGAAGAAGGAGCAAAAGACAAAGTATGACAATATGGACACAACAAAGCATTAATGCATAATAAAAACACCAAAAAAAGAACTAGAATATACACACACAGAACATTTATTAAGCCTCAAAGATTAGAAAAAGAAAAGGAAATCGATTAGTAAGGAGTAAAGATCTACTACCTGAGATGCACGTCATACACAACACACACACGACAGTAGTTAGTATAGGAAAATATGTTAGAGGAACTATTTTCTAAAGCGTAAGTGTTGAAATATAAAATATAAGATTTAAAAATAAGAACAAATTGGATGATAGAATCAATTTATAAATATTCAAAGAAGTTAGATCACAGTGGAGGAAGTGAGAGCAAATTCATTTCACGCATAAATTTACAAACTTATGGACTATAAAACTATTAAATATTATTATAATTATTATTTTTATTTGCACAACTACTATCTAAGGTGACCAGAGTGGAATTGCTTGCGCAGCTTACTTAAGAGACCACCCCCGCCGCCGCTAGAACTTGAGGTATTTGTGTTTGATGTGGAAGCGACTGGACGACTCACTTTACCGCGTACATCTGGAGATGGATGACTCATATTACGAGGTTTAAAGTTGGGCAGCGTTTTGTTGCTAGGTCCATTGTTGTTAATCTGCCGTGAACCACGTCGTTGCATTTGACGAGGTGTAATCACTTCTGTAGTCAAGGTTGTTCGTCGCACTACAAGAAAAAAATATATATGTGTATTTCTGTTTAGTTCACAAATAAGGGTGTAATAATTAAGAATAGTGCGTCGGTGGCACGGAGGTTAGCATGCTCGCCGACCATGCACATGGTCCTGGGTTCGATCCCCGGCCACTGGACGCACTCCTTTACCTCACTTATCCAGTAATAAGACTGGTTAAGAGGGAAGGTTGGGCATGTGGCTAGCAAACCCATCCTGTAAAAATAAACACTGCTACAGAAACTTCAAGCCTCCAGCTTAAAGCCCTATGTTCCACTGGGGAACGTAAAAGAAATTTAAAAAATTAAGAATAATTCTAGAGAACTTATTATGCAATCTAGAACTCCCTAGTAGAATTATCTTATCCATGTAAGTGTCAATAGCACATTTATCTATCGTCCCATCAGAAAAAAGTAGTGTACCTTAGAAAAATTATCAATTTTATCATCCCAACTATACACTGAATGTCAATATTTGTATTCCTAACTTCCTAGTCACAATTATTTGACTAGTTGGCGGCTAATTACCGAAAAGGGTGCGCTAAGAGAAATACACAAAATTGAATGGATGCAACAGTGGGAAAGGCACATTCACCACAAAACAACCTGGAGTAGTCAATGCCTATGTTTCAACAGTTTTCGTCCTGCTAGAGAACAGGAAAGGTTTGCTTTAAAGAAACATCAGAAAACTAAATCGTGTTCCTTATTGCATGTATAAGAAACAGTGAATGTACCAAACGACTGGCAGAGAAGTTCAGTAAAACTTAACATGAGGAAAAGAGAGTATAGTACTATCGAGAAGAAACTCAGTATTCTTTGAATTAGTATTTAATAGTGATGAAATTTAGAAAAGAATTGTCAGGAGGATAAAAGACAAAATACCAGCGACGTAACAAGCAGCAAAACTGGTGTTCCTGTATAAAAACAACCTACTCAATTACATTACAGTACATTTACTAGACTGATTTCCGGCACACGTTAGCTCCAACCGTGTTTATGAATTCACATAAACACGCGGTAGCGAGTGCATAGGAAGAATACTAAGGGACGACTGTCTACAAGGATTGTTGGGCATGTGCCCAAAAGTCTACGTCTTAGATGTTCAGCATCATTTTATAGTATCATGCCTCGGCACCTGGCTGATATGGGACACCAAATCAACATATCATAATCTTTCAAGATGGTGAACAGACAGATCACTTGAAGACTACTTTAAATTGCATGAAGCTGTTACCATCCAAAGAGTGAAACGACAATTATACGCACATTGAGAGACCTAGGTCAGAGGCTTCCTGACGATTGCCTCCAACTATCTAATATCATCAAATCGATGTGCACCGTGATGGCGAGCTACCTAGAGTGGTGGCCACATTGCAAACCTGACTGGTAGAATTCAGTCTGCACCAAAGAAAGGACTAGACGCGTCACACTAGTTACTAGTGTCCAATGAAAATATCCACTACAGTCCTACAGGAGGTCAATCGCGAGCCCGAATAGCTCGGTGGTAACGACTCTGACTGCAGCACCGGGTGAGGCGGGTTCGAATCTCAGAGGGGAAATGAGTTCCTTCAAGGTTACAGATACGCCTTGCTGATGAGTGGCAACTAGCACGAAACCCAGGTCTAAGGCTTCCTTCCGATTGCCTCCAACTGTCTAAAAACCTTAGAAGAGTGTTATTGAACTTGTTATTACCTTAGTAAGCACTGACTCTTTCACCTTAACTTATCAAGATTTCATTTCGTTTTTTATGATGTAACTAGATAACTGAATTCTTCTGTCTCCTTGCTAGTTTTTAATGTCCTTGAGGTCTTTCATTTCGGTTGAATAACTGCAGATGTGACTAAATAGTTATCTTCACTTATGTGTATTATTATTATTGTTACTTTGGGTTCCTAAGGGAACACAGGGCTTCAACTGCACGTCTCCACTTGCTTCTGTCTTCTTTCTTCTTCTGTATTTTTCACCTGCATCCTTGCATGTTAGTCCATACTGTTTCAACTCCTCTTCACACGACCTCCTTCATGTCACCCTTGCACTGACGTCCCACTCCCCGCTTCCCTTTCGGTCTGATTCCACTCGAGCAATGGCCTGACGCGCGCGCGATGTCACCCAGCGGCCTCCTCAGTCACGAGTGTCCAATCCATCTCCGCTGTCTCCTGCATATTTGTTGGGCGATTGGTTCTTGTTTTGTTTCTTCACATAGTTTCTTCTTGGTGATTCTTTCCGGCCATCTGATCTTGAGTATAGAGCGAAGACAACTGTTGATTAAGGTCAGCAACAAGCTGTTGGAAATATTCTTTGTGACCCGCCACTTATGTGTGAATTACGCTTACTGCATCATTCAAAACTGTATTATTACAAGCTTTTCCAATGAAACATACTTTATCTTTGTGCATTGATGCTACAAAACAATGTAAGATTGCACAAGCTACTTTCAAGCAGTAGCACCTTAGGTTTATAGGACAGTAGTTACATAGAAAGCTTTTGTGATATAGAATATGAATTTTCAAGCATTGGTTTTACAGGGAATTTTATTTGATTGATTGGAGGATTTCATCATGCGCTGACATCAGTTAGAGGACCATTGGAAAACCTAGGAGTACTGGACGGCTGTTTCGCCCTATTTTAGGGCGCTTCGTCAGTACGCACCCATCCTGCGGGATTCGAACCCAGGACCTCCTGGTTACAAGGCGAGCTCATACACCATTAAGCCACTAGGACCCGAAGGTGAGGCAGTAACTCATCGAAGATGACGTTGTGAAGTGGTTGCGCTGTTATGAAATAATATAAATGTAATAAAGTGACTAAAAGAAAGACGTTAAAGTAATTAAGATATTTCACAGTAACAAAAACTCAATGATAAGAAAGTTAACCTCATAGAATGCCTGATGAGTGTAGGCTTAGTCATCAATGCATCGAAAGCATAACTCGTGTTTGACTGAACTGATGAGCAATCACATACTTAAATGTGAAGAATTAACCTTTATCGATTAAGGCAGCAAAAAAATGTGCTAAATATTTCAAACTGACTTAAAGGTCAGTCTATTTGTTGGAGTACAACAACTCAGACGGTGACAAATCAAGACAATAAATACATCAAACAAAACACTACATTATTGATTCGTAGAGTACACACAAAGCATACTAAAACAGTTAAAACAAAACAAGTGAATGAAGGGGTTGAGACACAAAGTACTCTAAAAATGCCTTTTCTCAAAAACTATGAATCATGGAGACATATTTCTTATGCCATGCGAAAAGAAAAAATTTGAACCACACCTATTGTGTGTTTGAGGGCTGATATATAATAAATATTACTCATTCCCAAAGGCTGAACTACTAGGCGGAAAGCAGTTAGAAACTTGGATGAACAGAAACTGTGTGTGTTAACAACCATTTCAATTTGTCATAACGTTTTTCGCAGTTTTCGTCATTAATAATCTATCAATGTCAATTATAATGAATGCATACGAGCCTCTCTAGTGAGGTTCATTCTCTGTTTTTTTTTCACATTCTAAGCATCAATCCGAATGATCAATCAGTCTGTGTAGGAAATTAAAAGGAGAATATAGAGACGAAAATAATTAAAGTGTATTAGCCCACATAACTAGTAAAAAACTATATGCATATATATATTCCCACAAATTACGCCAAACATTTGTGTATGAAATACAATACAATAAGCAAGCAACACACTATAAGCAAGATTAATTTTTTTTTATTGATTGATTTACAGCTTGATTCCACACTGTATTTTTGGTACAAGTATGGAATTTTCAGCATGGATATCGGTAGCCCAGATTTTGAAGGCCGACCATAGATATCAGGTGTGCGCCGGCGTGGGCTCGAACCCCGAACCATGTGCATGGTCGGCGAGAGTCCTAACCACTGTGCCACCGACGCACGTAAGTACATATTAAAACACAACATAACAAATTATGACTTACTTTCTTGCTCTTCTTTCACCTTACGTGCAGATTGTGATATGATTCTATCTAAGCGCTTTGCTTCTTCTTTAGACAATCGATTATAAAATTCACACCATGTTTCATCTGGTCTACGACGAACACTGGATAAGTGTTGAAAATCTCTATTCACATATTTTTGCCATAAATCATCACTTAAACCAACAAATTGCTGTGTGATATATATGAGAGAAAAGAGAAGAAGCCGCTTTTAGTAAGTAATACACAAATAATTTTGTCTGTCAAGAATGAAGAATTCAGGCAAGTATGCAAAACATTGTCTTAGAGGTCATACATAGAACAAAATAGTTTTTAATAATTATGAAATTTTCATACATCACTTTCTACTACCTATTTTGGTAACCAGATGAATATCAAAACGTAGCAGCAGAAGGCAAGACACGGAATTATTATTATTATATCCTTTAATTCCTAGAGGAACATAGGGCTTCAGCTGCACATCTCCAACGCCTTCTGTTTTCTGTCAGCTTTTTCACCCCGCTCCAAGTCTGCCCACACGCTTTCATCTCCTCCTCGCATGACCTCCTCCAAGTCACCCCACCATCGCACTGACGACCAACTCGCCGCTTCCCTTTCGGATTCCACTTGAGCAATAGCTTGTCTAGTGATGTCACTTGATGGTTTCATTTCTCAGAGTATGGCCAATCCACCTCCATTTCTTCCTGCCTATTTGTTTCACAATCGGTTCCTGCTGAGTTGGTTCGCTCATTTCCAGAGATCCCTGTTGCTGATCTTTTCTGGCCGGCCATCTGATCTTGAGTGGTATTGAGCGAAGACAACTGTTAATGAAGGTCTGTAGTTTGTTTGACATGCTCTGATCCGTATAGTGAGTAGCAGTGACTGACTTCACATTAGAGTTGAAAATCCAGATGTTATTTTTGATGATGAGTGCTGTTGAGCTCCACACAGACTTAAGAGTAATGAAAGCTTGTAAGACACGAAAGCCAAGGTATATTTCCAAGTGATTCAACCGCCGTTTATATATGTACAGTTTTATCTTCTCTAACCAGTCATTGAACGTGTGATTTTGGCTTACACTAAACGACATAAAATAGAATGTTCAAACGTATAAATTATTCTGTTGCTAATGCTGTATTCAACTGTCGGAATATGTGAGAATAATAATATTCCGTTGGGACACATTGTCTGTATAACACCGCCACAATAAGATCACTCACAGTGAAGTGTGAGCAATGATAACTCCAAGACATCTGCACATACTACACACATATTTGGATATTTCTCACTTTTAACCTCATGGAATTAAATCAATAGAAAAATACTAAAATAAACGTGTGAAAGGAGAGGTGATAACTAAATATAAAATAGTGCAAAATGTTTCGAATCTTGAAGATGTTACACTACTTTGAACACTTTTAAGTCTTTATTTCCAAGATTCGCTAAAACATAAGTTCTTAGCATCTTCAAAATCTGAACTACGGTACCTACAATTTCTTAAACAGCCTAGATCAATAGTCACGAAGTTAGCGAATTTGTATCAGACTTCACTTTCTTCAATAAAGTATCACTTTGACCTTTGTCGTTTGGTTTCAGTAAGCCAATAGTTTTATATGCATAACGTGCTTTGACCACTTCAGTTTATAGGAATTGTGAAGTTATATAGAACATCTGACCTTCCTCATTAAGAATTAACTACAAAACTGTGTGTGGTGATTGACAATTTCTATCTCCGTATTGTTTAAATACTTACTGTTCCTTGTTAATATATTTCTTATATGAATTGAATAATAATTCCGCCAAATACAAATTCCTAAATTCATCTCTCTCTGTGTTTTGGTTGAATTCTTGTAATTCGGTCATCTCGAAATACTAATACTACTATTACAGATAATTACGACACTGTGGCATTCCCGTCTCAATGTTATCATATCATACAAGCAATATAGGGATTTACGAGTTGATCACGGATTGATATCAATTAGAGAACCATTGAAAGCCAACAAGGAGTACTGGACAGCTGTTTTATCCTAGTTTGAGAATCATAGGCATTGATTGGGGTCGCGCTATATCACGAATTGGTAGAAGTTAGAATTCATGGGCTGACCACTGAGTCGGGTTCCAGTGGCTGAATGGTATACGACCTCACCTTGTAACCGGGAGGTCTCCAGTTCGAACCCTGGGCAGTGGGTGCGTACTACCGATGATTCCCAAACTGTCTAGTATTCCCTGGTTTTCAATGGTTCTCTAACTGATATCGATCCGTGATCAACTCGTAAAAACAAATCTAATCCTTACAAACTAAATATAGATAATACAGGAATGCTTTATCTTCGAATGGTTACACAGTAAATAAGGTGAGCAACATTGAGGTTAGGCGTAGAGTTCTAGGTAAACAGGGGAAATCAATCGACGGAGTCGTGAAGCTACAAAGACTGAGATGGTTAGGACATGTGTTACGTATGCCAAGTCATCGCCTCCCTCGACGAGCAATGTTAGCGGATATAGGGTCAGGCTGGAAAAAAGCTAGCGGCGGTCAAACAAAAACTTGGCACCAGTCAATGAAATCCACAACAGTTGGTCTAAGCCACGTAGGAAGGTGTAGACTTCCAGGCTGGGGTCCTCGGGACGGTAAAAATCTATGGTTGGAAACAATTGGCGACATGGCTCAAAATCGTTCTCAGTGGCGCAGATGCATCCACTCCTTGTGACTTATGATCTCCAATGAAACTGTTTATGTTTTTCTTTATTACTCCTTTGTCTCACACCTCTGCTCACTGTTTCTATTATGCTTTTCTTGTACTTTCTTCTCTCGCTTCGCGTGCTACACGGAGTGTGGCGACTTGACCTTCCGCACATTTGTGCAAAGTTCTATGTCGAAAACAGACAGACAGTAAATTTGATCACTGCAATATAGAAAGTCATTATAACATCCCCTGAACCTCAAATAGTAGAAAACAATTGTTTATGAGTTACATACATTTATACAGGTGCAGAAAATCTACGATAGCTCTGTTCATTCTATATTTGTAGACATATCAACACTTTACTAAATGGTTCATCAGTTTGAATGTTGGGATTCTAAGCAGGATTCCAGTCTAGTTCGACTTAATGTTTTAAATAACTGGCTGCCATCATAATTCATCACAGTGTTATTAATAGACTTATACATGGGAAGCCTGTACCTCGTAACTGAATTACACTAACGGTAATAATGTGATAATCGCATTTTGAGGGTCAGCATATATATATATATATATATATATATATATATATACGTACCTGGTAATAATTCAGAGGTGGTGTATGAGGACTGATAGCACTTACTTGAGTAGAGTAACTCAAAACAACTTGATGTTATGTATAGTAAGTTCTGAAGGGTATGATATTAGTACTTGCGCTAGAAACTGTATAATACAAAATTTATTTACTTTATTCACGGGATTTTATCGTGAACTGATATAGTTTAGACAATCCTTGGAAAACTTGGGAGTAATGGACAGGTGTTTCATCCTATTTTTGGACTCTTCACAGTATTCACCCACTGAGGTTCGTACCCAGGACCTTCCGGTTATTTACTTTTTCTAAAAATAGATGACTTTGAATGAACTATTTGTCACTTGGTTTGTTGCGATGACAAAGTAAGTGTTAGCTAACAAAATGAATAATGTTCACAGCATGCTTATTCATCTGATAATTAATTGAACTCTGAAATAATCTACACAAAGGAAGGGGTAACGAAATTTACCCAATTCACTGTTTTAGTCTTTAGTTACAGACCAGCTGCTAATGTAAGTTAATAGTCGGTTATACATTGAGTGATATGATGAAGAATGTTTTATTGGACTGAAAGTTTCTCATTATAATTTTCTGGAATAATTAAATCATATCAGTCTACATACTACTGGGTAAGGAGGAGATGGTTAAAACAATGAATTGATTGCATTCTGTAAAAGATTTCGATATCAGGTGGTTCTCAAATTTAGGATAAATACACTTTATTGGATATAATGTAATCAATCACTTACAGGATTGTAACGTTCAATTCGAGTTAAATCTTCAACAGAAGCACTACGTAAAGCCTTAGCTATTAACTCATAAGGCACTTGACCAACATGATCAACACGACTTATATTCTTCGACAGTACATCAATACAAAGATCAATTAAACTAGGAGGATCAAAGAAACCAGGGAAGTCATCTGACAAATTTGAATGACCGGGAAGCGGGAGTGCTGAACGATTCTGTTTCGGTACCCAAAGTACCTTCTTTGATTTGAATTTCAAATCACCACTTTCGAAATCATCTTCATCAGCTGAAAACAGGAGTGAGAAAAGAATTAGCGATTGGAAAAAATTATTTAATAAGATTACAGTCTTATTTGCTTTGTTACACCAAAACGTTTCGCCGAAACCTTAATAACACATAATCACTTGCTAGGATTTAGTGGTTCAACTATATATGATCAACCAAAAACATAATACACACCACATTATGATGCTTTAGACAAAAGTGTAACATGATAACACGCATGGAGTGAATTTAACTGACCTTTTAGAGAATATAGACGTGAAGAAAGTGCTGCACTTTATTACAACGATAGACAGTTTAAAATAATATTACTGGTATTTGTTATTAACAGTTTAAGACACTAAATGAATCACATCTCAAACAAACGTCGATGAATTCATTTTTAACTTGAAAATCAATAACACACATATTGCTTATCTTGAGTACTTTTCATTCAAACTTCATGCCTTCAAGTCTTCTCCTAACAATTCGATAATAGTGTTACGACTACCTTTTTCCCTCCACACAAGAATAACTAACAGCTTTATTCAAACCACACATTTTGTGTAATACCATCCAAATTAGTCAACAATATATATACGTTGTTTCAAGTCGGATCATTGATTGATACCAGTTTCCTAACTGATACTTGCTGCTGATGTTGGCCAGTGGTTGTATTAAAATCGCCAGTTGATAGGGAGTTAACATCTCCGAAACACTGAATTCCTACCCAAATGGCTGGATGGTCAACGAGCTTGGCTTCGTAACCTGGAGATACTGGCTTTGATCTCCAGTTGGGCTATAGTTGCGTACTGATGAACAGTCCCAAACGAAGATGAAACAACTGTTCAGTACTCTCTGGTCTTTAGTGGTTCTTAAACATGGGACAAATCAAATCCCTACAATTAATATTACTGTACAACAACACTGTGTGATTTATCAAAATAAAATCTTACCCATAATGGGGTTATACTCTACCACAGTGCCCAAGTTTTATACTTATATCTAAAGACTAGCTCTTTTAAATATACATTGTGGTTTATTTATTTATCGAATTACAATTGCAGTAATTCGCATCCTTTTAAAATATTCACTGCACCTCGATTTTTTAATGACTCTTGAACAAGTTTTGATGCATAATGAAATCTAACTTGAAAGGTAAGTTGTTAAAACATCAGGGGAATGGCTTTATGATAGTTTATCTGGATTGATTTATCAGGTAAAAACAAGCATATACAAAGACATAAAACCTCACTTGTTTCCTTAACTTCAGCAACAGGTGAGTGATGGACAATGTCTGGACGATTAACCGGTTCAGAGAGGGAAGAAATGATTTCGGCACTGAATGCTTCAGATGGACGAAGTGGTATATTTGGAGTATTTATATTTATTGAGGGCTTTTTGCTGCCACTACAACTAGTGTCAGAATCCAAAACAACAGCTTGATTACATTTTTTCTTTCGGTGTGTTCGAGTACTTAAGCCGACATTTAGTGAATCCATAAACGAAATACCACTAGACGAATCAATTGAATCCAAAACCTCTACTGACTTTCGTTTTTTGCCAGATGCAGATTTGTTTTTGTTATTTGGAGATTTTTGTGGAGTTTTAGGAGATGAACATAAATTATGCGATGAAGAACCGTTTACAGCATAACTTGAAGTTGGAGAATTGTTGTAAAGCGGTGAAACATGTGAAGAACTAGAGATTACTTTGTGTGAATTTGTAGGTGACACGTTTTTCACACTTTTCTTCACGTTATCTGAAGGACTACTAACCACTTTTGTTTTCTTTTCACCAACAGATGACGATAAAGTGTTTGAAATACAAGTCTGGTCTGAAGTTTTTAACTTATCATATGTAACATTGTCTTCAGGATTTTCAGGAATAGGAAGACTAATGGACTCTTGTTTTATATGCTCACTAAGCAAATTCTTCCATTTTGATATGAGTGTTCGTGCAGTTTGTCCAAGTTCCCCAGGTTCATTTTTTAGTTTACGGACAGCTCGACCAACACCTGACTCTGATAATTCACTAAGAGTGAGTGCTACTTCATTGAGAGTACTTAGAACGCGTAATTTCTAAAAAAAGAAAATGATGAACAGGCTATGTGAAATGAGTTTCATAAGCTAATAGAATACTATAAAAAAATGAAAAGTGGAGACAACCTTTTAATTCATTTATTCTAGAGGAATAATATTTTCAAACAGAGAAAAATATATTAAACCAATCGTGTAATTACACTTTACAGTACTGATTAGAATTCACTCCTTGCGTTCCGAGTGGAACATAGGGCTTCAGTGGTATATTTATTAAACAACTTTACAAATAACATTGTATATGTTTTTTTTACAAAGACATCAGGTTTTTAACCTTTATTTCTACCTGAAACATGAATAGAGTACTCTATGGATACCAAAAAATGTACCGCACGAAAATGATGGAACAAATGTTATAAGGAAAAGAGAGATAGATATTGAGGGACAATATTGTGAAAACAAATAACCATACTTATCAAGAGCATTTTACTTAGTAGTGCCTTGAAAAAATAAGAGAATGAAGCATGATCGCTACTGACTTCAATCCTCCGTTGTATCTGATGATCTCGTGAACCATTGAGTTGTGACCTCTCCCAGGAATCATCCAAGAGGTCGTGATGCACTAACTATTGCCAGTAGAAAACAACTATTCCTCATCCTATACCATTTTTCTCAAACTAATTCTACCTCAGCTAACCATGAGCTCAGGAACAGACAAGCATAGACTTAGTTGTCGTAAAATATGCCTGGTTCATCACAATTAATTAAGCTTCTTAACCTTACTATGGGGTTTGCGTCCTTTATTAAATACTATCCGTCCAACCGCATTATTTTAGCAGTCTTATCACAGGAATACTGATGATACGAACACTTACTTCACACAATATAGTATTCAGAAACAGTGGATACTAGTACTAATGCCGTCACGATTACGAAATTAACAGGCACATATGGAGCATAGACATGAACAGACAGTGTGGCGGAGCATAATTGATATTGTCCGTTTAAAAGTGACATCAATGCGGTATTATTCTTTATGCATGCTGATACGAATTTAAACTGTGAACTGTTTTTAGTGGGAATGACTTCATAACTTATCATTTTGGAGCATATGGCGAGATATAACTATGAGGTTCTAACAATGATGCCTACTACGACCGACGATGGGTAGACTTCGGTGTTCCTTTCGAAATGCTCTCATGTAGCCGCGCGTTCATAGCTCTTGCCAGATAAGTCCTATTTACTTCCTTCACGAGGCGGAATGTTACCGCCAACCACGGGGAAGCAGCTTTTGACGCTGCCCTATTGCCTTGTGGATCAGACTTGAAGTTGAAGACTAGAGGGGTGGCTTCTTACGACGACCACCTGCTTTTGTCTGAGCGTCCAGGTAGTATTCCAGCCCTCGTACAAACAAAGATTTTGTGCGGCACACCTCTTGGTGTCAAAACTATTTGTTTGTGTTTTGATAATAATTACCTACATCAAGTAGTGAAGCTTGATATAGCTATTTATATAAGTCCTTATTTTCACATAAAACCTCACCTACTCAAGGGAAATGAGTTTTTTATCAAGTATGCAAACATAGTGCTACTAGGTGATGTTGTCTGTCTGTTTTCGACATAGAACTTTGCACAAATATGCGGAAGTTCAAGTCTCCACACTCCGTGTAGCACGCGAAGCGAGAGAAGAAAGTACAAGAAAAGCATAATAGAAACAGTGAGCAGAGGTGTGAGACAAAGGAGTAATAAAGAAAAACATAAACAGTTTCATTGGAGATCATAAGTCACAAGGAGTGGATGCATCTGCGCCACTGAGAACGATTTTGAGCCATGTCGCCAATTGTTTCCAACCATAGATTTTTACCGTCCCGAGGACCCCAGTCTGGAAGTCTAGGTGATGTTGATAAAGTGAAAAGACTTTTGAACAGAATAAATGAAGACAAGGCTGTTTTGAGTCGCGTTTTTCAACTATAGCACGTAAAATACTACTTTAAGACTGGTTTAGATCAGCAATTAAGATAATTTAAGGAATGCTGTAGTTGAACTCACTGATTTTTACTTATTCGCGCGGTATAAGTGAGTGGGTACCCGACGAGACCTCAGGATGGATTGAAAAGGCTCCTTTATCTTCCACCGAACTGTACCAGTGCTTACTTAAAGTGATTGTAATTGTTCTACTTACTTTACGCCTTTAAAACATGACCATTAAAAACAGAGTTAACGGAGACTAAATATTCGATCACGGTTGCTTTTCCGGCACTCTTTGCTCTTGGAGAAACTGACCGATGCAGGAGGTAGGCACGATTTCAGATAAGACAAGCAAATCGTCTGGGAAAGTAATATACCATCAGCGACTTCAAAGCTGTGTAGCGTAATATCGTCTACCTCGATGCAATGTTACCAAAAGTACAAAGAGGTTATGGGAAAGCTAAGGGTAGAGGCCTATGTATAAAACTAGTTCCTGAGGTCAATGAATATCGAACACATAAAATACCTTGTTGGAACCAACGTCTCTATCTAGATCTATGGTTGAATACCAGGCAATACCGCACGGAAGTAATTGCAGCAATGCATAAGCATTCATACCTTATTTACATCTTAAAATTTCCTTATATTCTTGTCTGTAGAAATGTGGCTTAAGTATTTCTTTTTCAGTCAAAAGAATTAAGGTTTGGGTTCTCCTTCACCAGCTTTAGCCTAGAAAACTTGGTAGGATCAGCAGCCCTCACAACGTGTCTCATAACCTGGTAAATGAAAAATCTTTTCTCGGCATATGAGTAATAACCTAACCCTGTTTAATTTCCTCGAAGTATTATACAGCTGCCATATGACTTAACTTCCTTTTGATTATTTCCAACCTAATATTGATATATGATGTGCAGCAACTAGGGTCACTACACAGTGTGATGAGTTTTGTGCATAAATGCACTAATTCTGATTAACGTATACATACATTAAAACATCCTTAAAACAGGAAGCAGTTGCATGTTTAAATTGGCGATGAATAGCTGATTAGCCATGTTCAACTCAAATTATACAAACAGGAACAAAATCAAAAATATAATACACCAAAAGGAGAGAACTTAAAGCCACCGACTATGTAATGGAGTAAAACGAGTGCCAGAGTTCATAGGCCTACTATTAATATATACCATAGACTTGCAGTCACAATTTGATAACACTTTTCACCGCTACGTCGAACATAGCTACGGGTGATCCATTAGGTCCCGTGTTAGCAGATATCTTCAAGACCAATCTTGAGATAAAAAACCTCGTGTGTAATTGAAGAAACAACTTAATGTGGATAGATTGATGACGAATTTATTGCATGTGACAATATACATCAAGCATCCTACCTTCTTCTATTACTCAAGGACGCACAAGAAAATATTAATTTCCCTAGGGGTACATAAAAGTAATGGGAAGTTTCACTTTCTTGGGATCACGATGCATCGTCTAGAAGAGGCGTGTCTCCAAAGATTCATTTACGAAAGTTCTGTCTGTCTGTCTGTTTTCGACATAGAACTTTGCACAAATGTGCGGAAGTTCAAGTCGCCACATTCCGTGTAGCACGCGAAGCGAGAGAAGAAAGTACAAGAAAAGCATAATAGAAACAGTGAGCAGAGGTGTGAGACAAAGGAGTAATAAAGAAATACAAAACAGTTTCATTGAAGATCATAAGTCACAGGGAGTGGATGCATCTGCGCCACTGAGAACGAAAGTTCACATAGAGCAGGAGATCTTTCTCCAGTCAGTTATAAACTAGCATTGATCAAAACTCAGTTTTGCAGGTCCAGGATACTATACTGTATCGAGGAATCGGAGGAGTAACTGAGTCTTGAGATCTTTTAAAAAAAGAGCTGTTGCTCTCAGAAATCCAGTGAATATTACAAAAGATTTGAAGATTTACGTGAGAAACAAATCACATTGAAGAAGAAACATGTCTTCACACAGCTTGAATTCGAAATTGATAATACTGCAGCTACAGTCAACAGAAGGCAGAGCACATCACTGGCCAGAAACAAGTTGGTTTCCGCTCATTTGACAACATGCATTTTGGTTCAATCAGATGTCGACAGGTACCCTTCTCAAGCGTGCATACTAATTTAAATGAATCTGTGGTAACAGTTACATTGGGAGTACGGAAATAAAAACACCTTATTCTCTGAACATGTGCTGAAAAGCCTACGTCCTAAGAAACCAAACAGTTTCAATAGTGATGTTGTAATGCAGCTCATTGACGTAAATCATAAAGTGAACATCCTTCAAAATCACCAACAGACAATATGTCCATCTGTTTTCGACATAAAACTTTGTGCTCATGTGCACCAGTTCAAGTCACCACATCCCATGTAGCACACAAAGCAAGAGAAGAAATGCATAAAAGAGACAGTAGACAGGATATGAAACAAAAGGAATAGTAATAACGAAGAACAATGAAGCTTCATTGGAAATTATAAGTCACAGGGAGTGGATGCATCTGTGCCATTGAGAACGATTTTGAGCCATATCACCGACTGATTCCAGCTATTGGTTTTTTACCGTTCCGAGGACTCCAACCAGGAGGTCTACAGCTTCCTACATGGCTTAAATTACAACAGACAATATAATCCAATTCCTCTCAAGTTATCTAAGGCAACTACCATCAAGCATTTAAAACCTGAATTTTGTGTTTAGACAGAAGCCGATATTATTTCCCTTTTACAAAATTGGTTGCCTTAAGTTCTCTCCTTCTGGTGTATTATATTTTTGTTTCTATAATTTGAGTTAAACTCCCCACTCTATTACACGACTTATCACCTAGTTATCACCAACACATTCACCCATCGTCTGAATTACGCAATTCCTTCCGGAATGTATCGAAACATTTAGAGTGAAGTCAACTTCAATCTTTTGAGTATAAGTTGTAACTTTCGAGAGTTAATTCTGAGTACTTGTTATTATATTTTCACATAACCTTTTAACTGAAGTTATGCTACTTTTGCAAACACTGAAAATTTCCTCCTACATATGCAAAAACTATTTTTTACATGAAGAATTGTTAAGTACCCATATGTGGTCATGGACTACATTTTACTAATGCATTTCTAGGCGGCTAGTCAGCAGCTGCATTTTCATGTACGTTTTGCAATGATATACTCGACTGAAAATGATAACACATTTTTAATATCATGAAGCATGTGGGTCCGATATTCAAAAACGACCTAATTCAAAGTAATACTGAAATGTACAGACAGATATATAAATACTTGGAAAAAGTAGAACATCATTTATGCATGTTTCTGTAGATGTTGACAGCTGTCATTATGTCATGTGAAAATGTGAGGTATGGGTCTAATCAAGCTTCATGAGATGTAGAAATAAACAAAACTAAGAAAACCTCAAAATAGTTCTGCTTAACATTTTCCTGACTAACGAATATGCATCGACCAAATTTCAATTAGCGGAAAAAAACTATTCACTACTTAGAAAACTTACTGAGCTCACATCAGCTGACTTGTCACCAAGCGTTTCACAGAACTTAACTAGCGCTGCGACCACGCTAGAGCTCATTACCAGCTGACCGAAAATTTTAAGTTCCCCTCCAGCATGAGACAAACAAACATGCTTGTTGGTAGAACAGATTGACGCCTGGCCTGAAGGTTTTCTCAAATTGTTGAGATTGAAACCATAATCGAATGAGTGGTAAATAAGTGTACGAAATCAAGTGAAAAGTGGTAAAAAAAGAGAATTCTATCAGTATTTTTGTGGTATTAACTATACTTCATGTATATTGGTTAATTTAATAATGGAGTCCAGAATTACATACTTTTAGTCTGTAACTTCGGGTCCCCATATCATTACAAAATTACTGCCGTGACTTCGAGTTGTCTATTAGTTCCACATCATCATATGGAATGTGACTAGGCAGTACATTACAGTCCTGCAACAAATCCACTAAATACTATTGCGGAATCTTTCCAAAGTCATAAATATGTGGTATATGTGATTTTCTTTTCCAGAATTGGGGATTTTTCCAAGCAAAATGAAGTCCTTATGTCCCTTTTGAGCGAACAGTAATTCAGATTCAGATTTGGAAGGCTTGGAGCCTATGTTAACCATTCTCTAGTAAATTTCTGTGGTTGCCCGAAACCCTATTGAATGAAAGAGTTGAGGTTGCAGACACCAATTCTTCTGGGAGTTGGTTCCAAGAGTTTATGACTCGGTGTGAGAACCAGTACTGAACAGCAATAGGGTTTCTTCTTGGCTTTCGAACTCTCCTGATATATCGTCTAAGGTGTTCCGACCTGGTAGGAAGGAAAAGAGAGAATGGGTCAGATCCGTAATCATTATTTAAAATTTGAAACGTTGTGATTACATGGATACAGTTTCCCAGGATTGACCTCACCAGAGATGCATATAAGGAGGCGAACGTATATCTGGTGATTCTAGTAAATGCCCTGCGAATTGCCCAAAAGGACCCGAAACTACTTGCAGACACCGTGTGATGGTGTGCTCTAGTTTTTAAATCGTGGCCAACTCTGACACCTAAGTCTGGGTGAGTCTGAACTGATGGAAGTGTTATTCCCTCCAGTACGTAGGAGCTGATGCTCGCTCGTCCAATTCGCCTGGTTGCATATTTTGCTACATTGATCGGGAGCATCCATTATTTGGAACACTCTGACAATTTGTTGAGGTCCTCATGCGACATGGATGTATCACTGATGCCCTTCATTTCTCCCCAAATTCCTAAGTCAGTTGCGTATAGGACCATAGGGGAATCGGTGAGCAGAAATGACTAATTGATATACAAAATAAATAGAAGAGGTTTAAGCACTAAGCCTTATGGCAATACGCTACACACCGCTGTCCAAGAGGAGAGTTTCGAGTTGATCCTAACCCTCTGCCTCCTATCTATGAGGAATTCACTGAGCCAGTTTAGCAGCCTGCCTTTGATACCAGGACTTTCCAACTTCATGAGTAGTCTTTTGTGAGGTACTTTATCAAAGGTGTCAATGCAGTTGAAGATTGAACGATCAATTCTTGGTTGTTTGCTCAAAATCAACTTCCTTAATTTTCGCGGAGGCATCAATACGACAGTCATCGTCTCATCGGTCGCTGTTCAGAAAGAAGTCAGGAGAAAACCATCAGAAACCCTAGTAAAACCATTATTTTTATATGTTGGTGTAACAATAAAGAATTCCAAAGCGGCCAATCGGTGTTTTAGTTTTTGCGTCCGTAATTACTAAGCGTTTCTGAAAACCTGCAAGGAACAGCGTGGGCCCGAGCGTAGCAAGAGCTGGGCATTAACGGTTTATGAGACGTGGCTGACAAAAGGCTTTGCTGAAGTCTATGAAGACGACGTCTACGGGTCTTCTGTTGTCCCTTGATTCGACCCAGCTTTCCCTTGCAGTGAGAATACTTGACAGGCATGAGACGTTTCTTTGGAAGCCCTGCTATGCTCTGGATAATATTTTGTTGTTTTCCAGATATGACGCGTTGCTTTTCTTGATGTTTCGTTCCAGTGTCTTGATTAAAGTACTGGTGATACTGATAGTCCTGATCCTCCTTTTTGGATGCGGGTTACTATGGCGTATTTCCAGTCACGCGGTAACACTCCATTTTGGAGAGATAGCCTAAAGATCGTGGTCAGTGGGAAGGCTATGTGAGTTGATAGCTCCTTGGAAGCCTCGGATGAAGACTATCAGGACCCATTGATTTCCCCGCATCTAGTTTCATTAGGCAATTGAGCACAATGTCTTCGTCGATGTCAACGGAATCTATCCTGTATTCCTGTCAGTAGAAGCGAACATTGAACGTTTGTTTATTGGAACTGGTAGTCATTGGCGAGCAAATCGAAGGTGCGAATGGTTCAATCGTGTACAAGTTGGAAGAAGACGAAAGAATACGAATAAAAGTACATTATATTTGGTATAAAACATTTGTTTATAGGCTTGTAACTACCGTTATTTCAAATACCAAACAATATAACTTTCTAACAAGTACTGGTATTTTCGATTTAAAGTCAAGAAACGCACATAGTAACTATCGGTTCGGAGCGTCTTCGTAAATAATAGGAACTTAGGGTTAAGATCCTTGACAGTTTTATTCTTCTGTTCGTTATCATAAGCACATTCAGGAACTCTCCTGGAGAGTAATTACTCGACGTGCGACCAGCGAATTTCGGCACTGATCATCGCAACGCGTTTCGGATCGTTTCATGATGGGGCAAAAGAAGCGACGTATCACTAGTCGATGTCCGTGAATTACTACACTGGACCTCACGCTCTCCATGGAAGACTATCAGAAACAATTTGTATCAACCAACGCGAAAAAACAGAATACAGATTGGCGACTCGAGAATCCTTTATTCTTACGCCAATACGTAACCAACAATAAGGTTACTATACACAAGATCTGAGAATAAATGTTATAACAATAAATCACAATAATACTTCTGATAGTTTTCTGTCTTCCACTGAACAGCGAACGATGAGACGATGACTGATGGATGGATGACTTCCGTGAAACTTATGGAGGAGTTGGGTTTGAGCAAACAACCAAGAATTGATCGTTCAATCTTCAACTACATTGACACTCCCCGGCAAAAAAGGATCTATTCTTTTTTTCCATCACGACCAATGCATGTTGACTTGGATGCCACTGCGAGAACCTGGGTCACACGGACAGAGCTGAAATGGAAAACAAACAGAAAAGCCGACACACCACAAGCATACCCACAGCACAATCTCACACATCGATGACGACCTGTGCCTCCAGATAAAGGTATCCACTTGACATCTTGCATTACAATCGCCACTTGCTACAGTGGCTCTTGCAGAATGCAGCGTGACTAAAGCACCACCTCATGATACTCCACTCACGTCGCCGTATCTACTCACTACCAATTACCACTGCAATCGCTTGTCATTCATTCTGCCTCAGTTCTAGTAACGGTGACGTGTGCAAGCCTAAGTCGTTTACACTCTTTCTCTCCGGTGTGTGGGACCGCAGCTAACAATTATCTCCGTATGCGTTTCATTCTCAGCAATAGCCTAGCCTCCCCGGCGTATACGACCCGTCTGCTCTCCTTAACATCAATCAATTCATTCACGGATGTAGAAGAGTGTACACAACCTCAAAAGTAATCACGACGAAAATTTTAACAAAATTACGCAATAACAACAAGGCACGAAAACAACGAGTAAACACAATTAATCCAAAATCACAAATTGAGAAGACACACCACATGTATATACAAACAGTACACGTAAACTTGCGGTACATGTCTTGGTGGAATTTCTTTGAAGAATTGCAGGACTTACACCAGTACGCCTACAACCCTTCTCCGGTTGACGATTGTAAGTTGTGGAATGTCCGGACACAAACAAGATTAACCAACAATTACAATAATTGGAATTCACACAATTATTTAACACAAACATATGTACAAACAATTCATCAAATGATGTGGATTCTGCCTTGACGAACTAACCTTGAAGAATTGTAAGACTTACAGCAATACGCCCACAACCCTTCTCAGGTTGACGCCCTAGGTTGAAAATCGTCGCAGAGTTCGTTTGCTGACCTCCTTTCATCATCTATATCCTCAAGTTTGAATGGTAACATGTCCGTGTCATTGTATCGTGGAATGTAGATGACTAATAAATATACGAGGCACCCGACCAACCAAGCGTAGGCACGGAGCAATTTACACCAAAGATAATAACATTCAAAAAGTAACTCGAAACTTGAAATACCTTTATTCGTGCAAGCCAGTTTAACAATCGCCCTCTCATACACAGTTGGCTTATCCTTATTAAACTGACCATTGACATTCGTCTTTTCAAACGGACCGATACTAGCATAGTCATAGCATAAGACATGTGAGTTCATTCACGTCACCTTCAATGTGGATGACAGCACCAACGACGACTGATTGATACCAGTTGATGAGCTTGGTGGTGCATCGGAAGCTGTCGCTGTTCGACCTTTAGAAGGTTGTCTAACCGCATGATCACTGCCACTGCTGTCTTTTATTTTTAGCTCAAATTTAGCATTAACATCTGTCGATAGGTGGGCTACACGCTGATCATTTACACTGAGGGACTCACTAGTATCCATACCTTCTGCCACCGCATCTGCCCTTAATTCTACTTCACGTTCGAGTTGTACAGATCTTTCATTCAACTCAGTAGTAGTAGGCATTCCGCTCATCTCATTATGATCAACCAGAGATAAAAGTGCAATATCATGAACATTATCACAAATATTCACTTCACCGCCGTTTGTATGAACGACTTCATCATTTTCAAACTTAATAATAACATCAGTGGACAATTTGAGCTCTTCCTCACAAATCCTTAAAGGTTTTATACCTTTACTCTTACTAGTAATATCCTGTTAACTTTTGCAGACAGAACTGGAATCTGAAACCGTAACTCTCCCCTCGTGCACAAACTGCGGTGTCGTTTGTGGAAATCTATTCAACAATGGCTCACTAGTTGAAACTAATGGCTTCTACACTGCACCATTATCGTCACACGGTCCGCAGTCAGAACTTGATTTCACATTTAGCTTATCACTAAACTTGCTCATTTCTTCAAAGTTCACATTTATATGCAGTTTCTGCAAACTTGTAAAACACAACCGTGTTTGTCTCGCAACTCG